GAGCCAAACTAACAGGCTTCCACAGCTGTTCAGATTTGGTTTCTAAGTCAGAACGACTGTTAATCAGCTTTCCCAAAAGTTAGCTGCAATCTGTGAGGCTACTTTTCCATATCACAGCTGGTATGCAATTGATCTCATACACTATTAGGTTCTGCAGAACCCTAAATAAAACTATCACAGTTTTTTTTAAAAGACTCACTTATATTCATATTATGTGCGTGTGTGCACACGTTTTTTTTTTTTTTTAATATATATATCTGTAGTCTCAGTACTTCGAAAGATGCATTCATGTAGTCTGAGTAGTAGGGAAATAAACGTTTCTTAAGATTTGCTCTCGGAACCTCATGAGCCAAATCATATTATGTAACCCCAAAGATGGAAGAATTCTCAGAACAAGTTAAATCCCTCCTAAGGTTTCTGGGAGGGAATCGTCATCTTGAAAGCTCTATTCTGAAAGAACACACTTTATTTACCTCCTGAGGCACAAACAGCCTCTGAGCACTTAGTACCACATGTTCCTGCAGTGCGACTACATTTGGGAAAGGGCATCAAGCAGGTATCTATGTTTCTACGTCATTGGCGTTGTTGCTTAGAAGCCTGAAGAGGAATAAAAAGGTTTGGAAGAGAGAATTAGAGACAGTGAGTAAACCTGAGAGACAAAAAGTGTTACACCATTTTACAGACTATATCCTAAATACTCATGGTTCATTTTCAGGTGTCAAGGTATCCTATGGATGCTTAATACAAGCTTTCAAAACTGGCTAAGAGTTATGCTACATTGCAACAGTTTTTCAAACATTTTTTATTTGCAGCATAAAGCACAGCTAAACCAGTATAGATTATATTCTGTTCAATCTAAAATAGAATTTAAAATCCTTCTCCTAATGATATAAAGCCCTGCATAGCCAAGCTCCATCTTATATCAGAGATCTGATTGTTCCTTATGTTCCAAACAGAACACCATGCTGTCATGCTATAGGTTTACTAGTGGTATCTATTTTTGACTGTAGAATGGGAGGCTGATCTTTTAGTTATCAGGCTACTCTCCTGTGTCACCAACTACCTGTCATGATCCTGGCTCTGATGACTGGCTTAATTACTCATTTCATTCACCTATCTAACTCCACCCTGTTTCTTGTCACTGTTCATCTGTGTCACCTGCTCCTACTTCTATTTAACCTGCCCTCTGCCCAGTCATCAGTGCCAGATTACTCCCGAGCCAGTGGGGAGAGTGTGCCAGCGTTACCTTAGTGTTTCTGATTACCTGGTCTGCCTCTCAACTGCTGAACCCGCCTGTTCCTGTCTGATCTGTTTTTACCTGCCTGCTTCTTGTCATCGGGCTAGATTATTCTCCAGTCAGTGGGGAGAGTGTGCCAGCGTTACCTTAGTGTTTCTAATTACCTGGTCTGCCTCTCAACTGCTGAACCCGTCTGATCTTTTTGCCTGACATGTCTATGGACTGCTGCTGGATTTTGCCTGTTTTATGAACTTTCAGCTGTTTCCTGTCACCTTAGGAACCTTTTCGGACTCCTGATCTCCTGGCTCTGAATCCTGAGCATGTTCACAACACCTGCTTTGGCTTCACTCTCTGAATTATGCTGCCCTCCTTCATCTGCCTGGATCAGGTCTCTTCCTTGTTCTCTGTCCTTTGGGGCTGTGGCGGTGGGGACACTCTGGGCAGTGCCTGCAGCATCTTGTGGGCACCCTGCAGGACGGATCCTACCTGGTTCTCTGGGCTTGGACTGAACTGTTAAACCAGGTTAGTGACTCAGATTCATAATCTTCCTCTGCTAGATTTACGTGGTCACTAACCTGTGTTTCCTTTCTGCAGAGGTTCCTGCCTTAGATGCTCTAGCCGCTGCTACTGCAGATCTGCAAACTTTTTTGAATATGATCTATTTTCGAAAAATCTGTCCTCCTGTCTTTAATACGGGCTCCCCTGTTCTGAGCCTTGACACTAGCAGTTTTTGTCCGTGAGGCAGATACCCTATCTACTTTTGTCCTCAAGCAGTCTAAGCCTATAGTAGCATAATTATAAAAATAGCTCAGGATAACCTGAGCCACTCCAACTATAAGCCTTCTCAAAAAGGAACATTTTTATGCTTAGACTTAAATGTAGTCAGGGTGTCTGCTCACGGAATAAAACTGATACTGGTAGTTGGTTACATAGGAGAGTAACCTTATAACCAAAATATCTGCCTCCCATTCTACTTTTACAAATTCTAGGAACCACTAGTAAACCTGCAGACTGAGAGAAAAGTTCTCTTAAAAACGGAAGAAAGAAAAGCAGTGGAAAGGAAAGAGAACCTTTGGACTTCCGTAAAAAATTCAAAATATATCCACTGGACTTGGTTTCCAAGATTTGAAGACGTTTCGCCACCTCTCCAGGAAGCTTTCTCAATTCAAATGTCTGGATCCGCAGTGAGTTTGAGTCTTATATAGACAAAGCCTTGTATCGCTTGGAAATATGCAAATGGTAACTGACTGAAACGGAAAGAGTAAAAAGAAAACAAAAAAGACAACAAAACCATACTACCAGCAACAATGTCTAAAAAAAAGAAGAAGAAAGAAACTGTTCCTTGTAGGCAATCTTCCTATAGGAGCTCCTGCAAAAGGGAACAGGGAAAATAAAGGAACAAACAAGTGAAAAGAGCAACAGCAACAACACCGGTAGTGGTGAAGTTAGTGAGCTACGCAGAATAATGCAGCAGCTGTACGGAAGAGTATGGAGCTGTATGTCTGAGTAACTGACTCTGTGTGTATGTGTGTGAAAGAATGAGAACCCGCTGCCCTGATTTCCAGATTGTACTCAGTTATAATGCAGAGGGGCCACCAGCTGAAGCCTCCCTCCCCAGTGCTCCGAAGAGGGCAGAAAACGCCTCTAGACCCGATCCCCCAGAGACCACCCGAGCCCAAATCTCAGGGAGACAACTATAGAGACAACCGGGCACCACCCAGAAGGCAACCAGGGAACTCCCGCAGAGGAGCCCCCCACCACCCTAGGGCAACCCTGGAACCATGAGCGACAGCACACCTGCACCCACACGGCCCTGTCCCCCAGACACAGGCCGAAAGCCCAAGCCCTGCAAGCCAGAGCACCATCGACCCTAAAGTTATCTAAAGTTTATCTTTTGCTTTCCAGTTCATGAGAACAATTTTCTTTGCAAGGCATAGCTACGTATGGATCATGTGAGCTGACTTCCTTTCTATGTTGATGCCATTTAGATCACGAAGTATACACAGTTTGGGACATAAAGGAATACTGCACTGCCATCATATTGACAGTTGCTTGCAGACCTCCAACCAAACTTGTGCACAGGTGGACAGGACCATCCATCCATCCATCCATCCATCCATCCATCCATCCATCCATCCATCCATCCATCCATCCA